TCAAACCACCAGTGTAAATCCCGGGGGGCACATGTCCCCTCCCATCCGAGGGTTACATATATATATATATATATATATATATATATATATATATATATATATATATATATATATATATATATATATATATAAATAAACTCTAAATTGTGAAAAAAATATGTATATATACCTAAAATAATTGTCTAAGTAGAAAGAAAACCGCATTTATCATTTAAAATGTATTTACAAACAGTTGAGTTCCCCCTCCCCTTCCTCAAAATGGTTTAGTCCACTGTGTGCTTTTTGTCCCTCATCTCACCTACTCACATACATGCACACGTCAGGTGTGCGGCTGCGGTTGTGTAAAGTAGGGGGTTTTATCCACCTTAAATAAAGCGATTCTCTTCAATGTAGTTAATACAGACTCGTTCAAAAATTAGTTGCGGCAAAAATGCTGATTACAGATGTATTGTCCATGTTTTTGTCCATGAGTCTGCTGTATTAGCGATTAAAATTACTTATCTAGTTAACGTTAGCTTGTTGCTAACGCTAAAGCTGTTTCTCATGCATTGTTTCATTTGTAACGACTTGGCATAATGTTAACTTAACATTAGCGACCACAATTAGCATATTGTTTAGCTTTGTATTTGCTAAATAAGCACTGTGCTACGCTGTGCTCACTAACCCCACTATATTTTTTGTATAATCAGTTTCTATTCTGTTTTAAGTGACTCAATTAATTTGAAATTAAAATGTTTACCTTTTTTTAATTCTTTGTTTTTATTGTTGTGATTATTTTTATGATAGTTTTGCAATCTTTATTTAAAGCACTTTGAATTACCATTGTTTATAAAATGTGCTACAGTATAAATAAACTTGCATTGCAGTGTCGTGTATTGGATAAAATGACACAAAATATATACATAAGATAATTTTTCAGTGCAGCTAAACACCAAGTACAAAAACTTCACATATTAGGCAATTTGGCTTTAAGAATGAGTGCTTATAAAAAATACTAATGTCACAATATCAATCACAGACACAAGGAGAAATAAATGATTGAGGATCAGGCAGAGCAGGGTCAGTCAGATGTACAGTGTCAGGTAAGGGTGTTGTGCTTTATTGAAGGAATAATGACAATTATTTTTGGGTGAACAATTTTTTTTTAATGTTTTCGGAGTTGTGGCTGTTTAGCAGATTTCACAGGCTCACTGATTTACAATATGCTCTCTAAATTTAACAAGTGTAATGTAAACACGTTAGTTATTATGAGTATGGAAAATGTCTTTTTGCATTTATTCTGCTTCAGGAGTCAGTCAGTTGACCGTAAACAACATAACAAACAATGCAATAAATAGTTTTGAAGAAAACTTTGCTTTGTTGTTGAACCTGAAAAAGACTTTGAAAATAATAATAATCATGTAGTCTCCATGCTATAATAATAATGATGAAACCATTTTTAACTGTGTGGACATATCTTTATTAGTACAATTCAGTTGAATTATTTGTGTTCCCTTCAAAAAAAAAATACTCAAAAGAAATTGTATAATTACTACCCCCCCCCCCCAACCCCAATTTAATTGTTTTATGTCAAATCTACTTACATTTGTAAAAACAATTAAATTAATTGTGGAACCCAACACTTTTAACAGTACCATTTTTGAAAGACTAAACTTGATACAAAGTGGCATATCTTATAACCTAAAATGATTTAAATACAAACAAACAAACAAACATTTAACCAGATTTTTATAAATAACATTTGATTATTATTATTATTTTATTTTTTTTTTAATGAAAGACCAAATGTACGACAAAAACGAAAGAAAAACAAAAACTGAAAATAATTGGAACAAACAGCTAATGTAACTTGGCCACTTTAAAGGAAAAAATTGGGGAAAGACACAGAAATTATATAAAAAGAAAGCTAACAAACGAGAGTTAAATTTAAAGGAAAGAAAAATCAACAAAATAATAAGTGGAAAAAACTAAAAACAAAACATTTACCCTAAATAGATTTAGAATAAGAACAATTTACAACAATATTTTGTTTTCCACTGGCGGATTGAATTTGTCCAATCAATCACTCAATCACTCAATCAATCAATCAATCAATCAATCAAGCAATCAATACTGAAATAAAAGAAAAACTAAAAAAAAAACAACAAAAATAAATAAATGAATAAAAATAAAATAATTTAAAAAACAGAAAATCAAGCCAAACATTTTTTTTTTGTCCAGCAACACTAAATAAATCAACAATCAAACAAACAAACAGACCTTTTTTGCTTCACAGGCACTAACTAAATACATGCGAATAAATAAACAAGACAAGCAAAATATAAAAGTATATGACCAGCACACACCCACACAAAAACAAATCAATTTGCTCCCTGAAACTACAACAAGACTTTACACACTGGTTTTGGAGTCAACACGTGTTGACAGTCTACAGCTCTTCAAATCTCCAATTCCGTGGCTCGGTACTTTGAAACCAATTAGTCTCAACTGGTATTTAATTAGTAATTGATCCGTAGCCCATTTCGCTCAGCTGAAAACCAGCAGTTCCTACAGGCTCGTGCTAAAAAACAGGCCTTTATGCAGAGAGCGAACAGCCGTTTCCTCAGGCGTTTGAATTTACGGTAATTACTGCAGAATAATGTAATTGCCCACGTATTTAGCAGCAAGAATATGCGAGGAACAAAAAGCTCAGCGAGGTTTTATGCGGAGTGACTCTGACGGGTTGTATTCCTTCCAGCTGTATTGCACAAACTATAAATCTCCCAGCGACGTTTCTCCAGAAGCGGTTAATTACAATCTTTTCAATAAATTAACGAACTTGAGGCACCTGGCATAAAAAAAGAAATCCAGAGAAATGGAGCTCAAAAGCACTTGCTGCTCTTGGGAAATTGGATTCGTTTGCGACAATTAGTCATCGATTGACACATTGACCAAAACGTCAGACCCACGGCGATAGGTTTGCTTAATATTTTGACTCAGATCCACTGCTTGGAGTGTTGGAGTATAAAAAATAAACCTTTTCTGCATTACATAATAATTAAGCAATCGTTTGAAGCATACTTTTAGTGACTTTAGTAACTTTTTGGTTCAATAAAATAAAAGGTGGAAACAAACGCAAACAAATAAAAAAATATACAAAATTAATTACATCAAAGAGAATTTTAAGAAAAAACTTAACAACAAAAACAATGGAAAAATTGCCACGGATAAACAATTGATCAAAATGGGATTTAAATATGATTTATGTCTGTTAAATAAATATAAATGTTAGATTTAAGGGTCAATTTTTAGTCATTGTCACAATCACCAGCAATCTAATCCTAGCAGATCGCTGGTAAAAACACAGAATGCTAAAGAACTACAAATCCGCCGTTACATGGACAACCGATCCCACCACACACTCACACCTATTCCGGTTGCCCACTGATTGCTAACACACACAGCTGAAGCTGTTCAGAACTGATTACATGGACTTTAAAAGCAGCACAGTCACACACACTAGTTGCTGAGTCTTGTTTACTGTATGTGTGACATTACGACACGTCTCCCTAGTCTTGCCTTGCCGTGTTTGACCTTTTGCCTTGTTTTATTGTTTATGCTGCCTGCCTTCTGACCACTTGTTTTTTTTTTTCCCTCTGGATTCTCTGTACCTGATTGTGTTGACTGTTCCTTGCCTGACGATTCTTGTTATTAAACCTGCATTTGGATCTGCACATTCGTTGTCAGCGTCCCTCTCACATTACAGTCACTAACACAATATGAATGAATAAATTAAACAAAACAAACCAATAAACTAAAGAAACAAAATGAAAAACAAAAACAAGAAAAATATGAATAATTTAAAGTAGAAATGTGCTGAAATTGTGCCAAAACCGAAACCGAAAATGCATGTGGCCAAAAACCGTAACTGTTTTGTAATCTTTTTTTTATTTTATTTTATTAATGGTGCTGTATGTACGTTTTTGACTCGTTTTAAACATTAAAATATCATAATATGTTTGCAGATATTTAAGATACATGCTAAATGAACGTTGTTTATCTGAAAAAACAATGCTGGGGTCCGTTCTTCATACGTGGATTACTCAGTTAGCTGGATTTGGATATTGACGATTTGACACGATCCAGGATCGTTTCGTTCTTCAAAGCTGATCCGAGAGTTGTTGTCATAGCAACAGTTCTACTAGGTCAAACCTGATCGGGAGCAGGTTCAATTCATATAAACAGGATTAGATCAGCTCAGTTCGAGCAAAGATAATACAGAAAGCATGTTCCGAATTCTGATATTTTCTTACAGTAGTAGTTATATACACTTGGGAAACATATTTTTTTAACTATATATA